AAAAAAAAACAAAGCAAGTGTTTGAATATCAATTAGGGGAGATTGATTGGGAGAAAACTGGAGAAAAAGAACGGAACGGAGGAGTGTTATATGGGCAGAAAAAAAAAGGCAAAAGAATGAATGATTAGATGAGGTTTTTGAATTGATTAGTTTCTTTTTTGCTTCTTTTTGTTTACTTTTTTGTTTAATCGGATCAGAATCTGAGTGATTTTCTTTTAACGGGGGGACGACGAAGAAGAAAAGGAGAATATGGGTTGGTAGGGTTGGGTTCCAGCGAAAAGAAAAGAAGGGTGACTTTGAATTTTGGGTCTTTAATTCTTTTCTTTATAGTTTGTTAAAAGGGTGGGCAAATAAAAATAAATGAACAATTGAGTCCGGTGATGACGATGATGATTTATTATCTGCCAAGAAAGCCACCCCTGAATTGTGTTAACAGTTAAACACAACGTTGTTTGCCAACTGGGTGGGTCTTCTTTATTTTTTTTTTTTTTTTTTATTTTTTCAAAAAATAGAAAATGGGAATAGTAGTAAAAGTTAAAATACAAGGAAAAATTGCACTATTCGTCCACTAATTATACTCTCGGTACACTTTCGTCCTTTAATTGTTTTTGGTTTACAATTGGTACACTAACTTCTTTTTTTTTTGGTAATTTTAGTCTAAAATTACATTCCCGTGCTCGTTTTCGCCGGAATAGGTGATGTGGCGCCCAGTCAGATCGGAATTTACATTCTCGGCGTGATGTGGCACGAGGTGGCGCCTAGTCAGATCGGAAAAATTGCACTATTCGTCCACTAGCTTTACCTTCGTTGCACTTTCGTCCTTTAACTGTTTCCGGTTTACAAAATCAGAAAAATAATATTAAAAAATCAAACGAAAAATAAAAAGCTTTAAAAGGAAAAGAAAAAATCAAAAGAAAAAGAAAAAAATATAAATTTTTAGTTTAATAAAAATGAAATATTTAATAATTAAATAAAAACGAAATAAATTTATAATGAGTGATAAATATGTTTTATTTAATGATTAAGTATTTAATACAAAATCTAAATATTTAACAAAAAATAAAAAATATTTTTTTTATTAAATATTTAATGAAAATTTAATTTTTCATTAAATATTTAACCATTAATAAAAAATATTTATTAAATATTTATTACTCATTAAAATATTTATTTCGTTTTATATTTCTATTTTTTATTAAATATTTTTTATTTTTTTTATTTAAATATAAAATATTTTTTCATTAAACAAAAAAAATGATAAATATTTCTTTTTTTATTAAATATTTAACCATTAAATAAAAAGTATTTATTTCTCATTAAACATTTATTTTGTTTTTCATTTTGTTTTTTATTAATTATTACGTTTTTAATTAAATAAAAAAATGTATTATTATTTTAAAAAAAGATATTTTTTTATTTTGTTTAAAATCATTAAAAAAATTATATTTTTATTAATTAATATTATTTTTTTTGTTAATTTTTTTTATCCACATGTCTTTTCTTTTTCTTTTTAAAGCCTATTCTTTTTCTTTTGATTTTCTTAATATTTTTTTTCTTCTGATTTTGTAAATCGTAAATAATTAAAGGACGAAAGTGCAACGAATGTAAAGTTAGTGGACGAATAGTACAATTTTCCGATCTGACTAGGCGCTACCTCGTGCCACATCACGTCGAGAATGGAATTCCGATCTAACTGGGCGCCACATCAGCTATTCCGGCGAAAATGAGCACCGGAATGTCATTTTGGACTAAAATTACCAAAAAAAAAAGTTAGTGTACCAATTATAAACCGGAAACAATTAAAGGACGAAAGTGCAACGAGGGTATAGTTAGTGGACGAATAGTGCAATTTTTCCAAAATACAATAATGTGGTGCTCAATTGTAATTTAGATAAAAAGATTGTCCAAACAGAATTTGTGTATTCAATTAGAGTTAGTTATAGTTAAACTCGACTCCACTTGTTAAAGTTTGAAGACTATCTTTCAATAATAATTAAAAATAACACAAATTTTAATGGGATCAATCAATACCTTTAATCAGGTTGTGACACGCTGGTGAAAAAAAAAAAAATGTGTATTATACTATCAACTATTATAGTACTATGATATTTTTTTAACAAAAATTAACATATTTATATATTTAAAAAAAATTATTTCTACCTAACCAATCAAATGCATGACAATAACTATTGCTATCTTTTAAGGTTGTTTTAGGTTCTTTGAATGACATTAAATTTATTTTTCAGCCATAGAATTTTTATAGTTTCATCTCATGGGACCAATCAAGAAGAATTTGCCTCCATTAAAGTACTATTGAGATTAAAGTCAGATTGCTTAATAAACAATATAAATATAAACAATTAATTTTACATATGACATAAAATGTAATAGATAATATATTTTTGTATAATTTAGAGGACCATAAATTATTAGTTAGTTTAGATAATATTATAAATATTTTTATTATTGTCAAAGCAATTGCTTATGTGATTTTAAGAGGGTCTATTATGCACTAAAACTAATTAACTAATATTATAAAAAGAATCTTAATAAGATAGAAAAAGTATTGTAAAATAAATATCTTAAATAAATAATTTTGCAATGAAAATTTTATAAGCACGTAACTTTCACATAATATGTAATGTAAACTTATAATCAGTCAGCATTAGTGGTAACTATTATATAAAAAAAAAAATAGAATAAAAATATTTGTACACTTTTATAATGTAAAAATGTAATACTTTTCTTTTCCATTGATTACAAAAATGAACAAAAAATTTATAATTGCCTTAATTGGATAACCCACAATTATATATAGATTGAGGAATGGTAAATATATTTTTTTAATATTGTTTCACATTACTAAAATTACTAATTCTTCTAACTTTTAATTTTATCATTCAAGCCTTCCGTCTCATATCATTAAGTCGATTAGAATCAATGTTTTTGCTTCTAACTTTATTTATTTAGTAATTGTGATAGACTTAAGTATTAAATTATGTGAAACATTGAAGGAAAACAAATCATAGTTGCACAAATACAATTGAATTAAAATGAGGTGTAACATAATGCATAAGGTAAATTTTATTAAAAAAAAAAAATATGTTGACTCGTTGGATCTATTGTGTCGAATTTAATAAACCCTAGATGTCCATAACAAATTGTTTTATGCAAAAAGATTTGAAATTGTTATTCGAATAAATCATAACATTGGAGATGTAAAATATATTGCTAATTGCTTAGATCTTGATCAATTAATACTATAATCATATAACTCACAGTACAATAATTTGATGCTATGTGACTATAATATGTGCTACCAGCAGTTTTGGATATCATTACACACTAAAAACCATTATTATATTAGCTTTAGGTTTTAGCATAGAGAAACATATTGATACTGTTTAATGCTCGAGTAGTTAATCACCATTCAATCATATCAGCACTACTTTATATAATTACTTTACACTTTCTGATTAATTAAACATAACTTATGAAAAATTTATTTATTTATTTAACTCTAACTATGCTATACGAGCGGAATTAGTTAATCTATTAAAACGTCAAATAAACACAACACATTGGCAGAGAGGAGATAGATAAGCAAATCGAAATTAATATATTGTTGGCTGTCAACGAGCCAAATTAAGCTCAGGCTCGAGCATTTATTGAACTGAGTCGATGAACAGGCCCAAACTTGCTTGTTACAAGTAATGACCC